AGTACCATGGAACACGAACATGTACAGAAAAAATACGTCTTTGTTTAAAAAAAGATTCTGTCAACCAAGAATACATGCGCAAGGCAAGATTTGTGAAACGAAACAGAAAATAAATAATCATGTCATTGTCAGTGCAATGCAGACAGCCTGACCTGTTTTGATTAGTTTGCCAGTTTCTCGTTTGCTAGCCATTTTTTCTGGAGTGTGACACAAATGGTGAACATGATACTGCCAACTCAATCAAGAACCAGGATACGGCTTGGATACGCTGAAACTTTGTAAATCGTCCTCTTTTCAATTGTAAACTTTATTCCAGTGTTACGCTAAATACATGTACTAAATACTAAACAAGCGCACATATCGTATTCATTTACAGCATCGGATTTTAAAACAATGACTCGTGGAATCACAAAGAAACTGTTAAGTACGTATTTCACACATTACCGAGGACCGCGGTAGAGACCGGTACAGCGGTAGAGACCCCTAATTATAAGCAGTCCGCGGCTCTCCCCGGCGTTCTGCGGTACACCGCGGTAATGACCGCGGTGCACCGCCCGTTTGATTTCCTACTCTTCCCTTATACACAACACCTAGTTGGTGTTTGAATTTGATGATCACAACCCTTGAAGTGAGGCAACGCCCACACAATGTGTTACAAATGACTAAAACTTACCCAGCTCTACCAGTTCTGCCAACGCGGTGTACATACTCTTCAATGTTATGAGGAAAATCAAAGTTGAATACATGTGTTATGTCTTTGATATCTAGACCCCTGGATGCCACGTCTGTTGCTATCAAGATACGCACAGAACCTAGTGAAAATCAAAGTTGAATACATATGTTATGTCTTTGATATCTAGACCCTTGGATGCCACGTCTGTTGCTATCAAGATATGCACAGAACCTAGTGAAAATCAAAGTTGAATACATGTGTTATGTCTTTGATATCTAGACCCCTGGATGCCACGTCTGTTGCTATCAAGATACGCACAGAACCTAGTGCAAATCAAAGTTGAATACATGTGTTACGTCTTTGATATCTAGACCCCTGGATGCCACAAACCACATGTATCACAATGTAAATTCAGTCATGCTTGGCCCATATACATGACAAATGCTTTGATAGTCAGTACATCCAAGAAATGATCACTTTATTCTGTTTTTTTTTTTTGTATCAAGATACACATAGAACAATGAAAGGAATAAAACTAGATACAATGTAACTTACTATCTTTGAAATCCAGTAACGCTTGTTCCCTGTCCATTTGTTCCCTGCCTCCGTGGATACATTGTACGCTTATATTACGCAAGGAAAAATCACTTGAGATATCATCAGCGCTATTAATAAACAAATGTGATATTCATTATGGGAAGCAGATCACCAAGAATGAGTAGACCCCTACCCTGGCACGGGTGACAAGATAATGGTGTTAAGAATGATGGCAACATAGAATTACCAAAATTATTTGGTTTATGTGGCAAATGTGTAAAAGTCAATGCTTGCATTTTATTACTAAATCTTTAGAAATAACAGTGACTGTTGTATTAGTATATGTAGCACAATACTATTTCCATTTTATGCTTACTTACGTTGTCTTTCGGCCAACAAATATAAGTACTTTATCATCCTCTTCCATTTCATCAATAAACTGTAGTGTCTAGGAAGAAACAAATAAATTTCTATGATTCAGTAGTGGGAAGACGGATATCTACCAGACAAATTATGGATATATTTAAGTTTTCAAGTCACAAAACTTACCCGTGTTCTTTTATCTTCTTCAGCTACGAACTCTACAATTTGTGTTACTGCATGGCAAGCCTAGGAACAAATAAAAACAATACATGCAACTTGAATGTTCATCTAATTTTTGTTACCGTATTTATTCCACTACAGTGTTGCAGGTGTACTGCTAAAAAAAAAACAGGTGGCATACACATAA